TGCCGAGACCCTGTTGAGTAAATGTGTTGAACTCACTGAGCTCAGCCTCCCCCCTCTGCATTACCCATACATCACAGACGGGAGTCCTAACGGGCAGCTGGCTGGCCGCCTCTCAACCAAATTGTTTTCCTCTGATGTCCCGAAGAGGTGAAACAGAATCATTGCAAACTGCAGATTAGATTGTGAAGTGGTGTCAATCCCGCACAAATAAAGGTCTGCAATGATTCATTTTGTGTGATGCGTCATTTTTTATACAGAAAAATGGATTTGAAAATGCATCCAGCGCCGAGCCGGTAATAACGTGAACATTTTGCCCTCTTCTGTTTCTCACTGTGCGTTTGTTTATGTGCGTGTAAAAGCTCATGGGATGTAAAACCCCTGAATATGAATGCTAATAAGGTTTTTATGCAGCTACAGCCCACGTACTAGGGTTTTACTATAATCAGTCTCGTACATCTCTAAACAAATAGCAACAGTTGTAAAAAAAAGTATTAAGCGGTAAATGCAACATTTGTACAGTACTGTAATGGTTCTATGGGATTTAGATTACAAAAGCAATTTTTATGGCAAACAAAACCGCTTTCTCAATGTGTTCCACAGTGATTAAATCAGTGACTTGTGTACGTGTTTGCTGGGTAAGACCACAGCATCAACAGTGAAGTTGTCTATCTGCTGTTATGGCCAGTGATGGAATTGTGTAGATGATCCTCGTTCACAGTGCATATTGACAGCAGATGAAATGACCCTGGTTGGACTTTCCACGTCTGCTGCATTCTCTTCCATTTCATTCTGTGGATTACCGACTCTGCGACTCTGTCAATTTCCATTCCGTTTCCATTGGTCTGATGGTTGATAGGGGGTTTGCAGGGGATGTAAGGGTCTGTATGTAAATGACTGGGCTGGCCGGTTATAGAGAAGGATCATGGTGTTTTTCTGTGGCTGTGGTTTGGATTTCATCTTTTCATAATTTGTCCATCCTGTAGTTTAACAGTCATTTCAAAATTAGCTAGGTGATTTTATGTGGTATCGTATAACTCTGTGCTATTTATGTTATTAGTTATTAAGTAATTGACATTGTATTAGAGCAAAGTATTTCACAGTTTCCTGCAGTATCTTTTCTGATAATGATAATGATCCTTATCAGCATTTAAAGCCAATGTAAGTAAGGAATCGATATACCAGCACTATTTTACTGAGAAGGAAAAGGTGCTTTAATAGTTTAATATCAATACCACAAAATAAGAAGACACAGAAAGAAGAAACAGAGGAATTCAGAGGAAGTTCTTGACCAAAATGCAGTTGTGTTTGTACTTTGAATTCGAGTTCAATTAACTTCCGTTGGGATAACATTGGAGATTGTTGTCATGATAAATCTGATAAAAAGGCCCAACAGAGCTCAGGCTGATAGAAATAAATTGGTTGTGTGGAGTTCTGAACATCTGATCAAGGAATGCTACTCTTCACTTCTGCGATGAGAAGTCATAAAAAGTCGACTGGCTTGAGTTTAAAAATTATAACGAATTTAATAACTTACAGAAGTAATAAGCAATACAGTTAAGTATTTCTTTCTGCTCCAAGGCACCACGTGACTCCCCCCGGGCTCCATCTGATGGCCGACTGACCTGACCGATCCCTGTTCACTTAATACTACAGTACATTCAATGATCACACCTTTGGCTTAAGGCTTCTTCATGTAAACATAACAAAGCATGCATAGTATTGGTATCATCTAATAGCTAGTACACTTTAATAATAATAACACATCTTAAATCATCACAGTTCATTACATCTTAACCATTATGTTTAACTCGGCCCAAAATCAAAATATTTGCCTCACAGGGGCAAATATGTGTACAGTATGTGTAAATATGTGTACATATGTGTACTGTACAGTAATTATATGACTTAAATGCCTATGAATTGAGTTTGATTCATATTGCAATTATTTAATCTAACATGCTGATGTAATAACTAAGATCTAATAACACACAAACTACAATTCCAATACCAAACATTACTACATGTTTTTTCATTTCCACCGATAGGTGTGCTCTTCTGCTTAAATCTGAAACAGTTGCTTGATTAACTAACATTAAACCCAAAGTTAATCAAGTGTACTGCAACAGATAAACAACCCCAGCTTGTGACTAAACAAACAGCATTGCTTATATCATTTATCTGTTTCCATTCCTGCTCTTGTTCAGGTTGACTGTTTCCATCTGTCAGACCCTTTGGCAGATCTCAGGATGCACGTACAGCCTCGCCCGCTCCAAACACAGTTGAGTATTGTGTTGTGACATTGTTCAAATGTCAGAGAGCTGTGAAAGCAGGTGGTGGGGAGTCACTGTTGGCGCCCAAACAGCTTCAGCTGACTTCCCGGCAACTTGATGAAGGACAAGTTACAACCTGCCCACTGACAGCTGAGAGCTGCAAGGTAACGGCCTGATTTAACGGGCCGAGAGAATGATCGGTCCTTAATATCTGCTGGTTTGCTTCTATTATACTGAATAACACGTACTGAATAACTTTGGGTTTTCAACCAGCGTTCTTTGAGTGTCGCTGGGTGTTACAAGCAGATGGGGAAGGAGATAAAACCATTCTATGCTGTACCGAGAAAATCCTGATTAGAACTAAACACACAGGTGTTTATAGATCATATTCAACACAGCGTATTTCTCCAATAAAGGTAGTGATAATGACGTGGTAATGACGTGGTAATGACGGGGTAATGACGTGGTAATGAGTGCCATGTCTATGTGATGTCGGTGTTTTACTTTCTGCTGAAGAAGTTACTGCCGAGATATAATGAAACTTAAGGGCAGTTTCTGTGTTTTCATGTTACTTACTGTATTGATCCACTATGTACTGCTTCCAAATGTGTTTATTATTTTATATATGGGATTTCATTAGCTCCCATCAATTAGATTTCCTCTTTTCTCAATTTTTATTCCCAATTTATTTAACCTTTATTAAATGTTATCAATACAACAATTAGTGGTAAGCTAATGCCTGTTCTCCTTACATTGGATTTGATTTATTTCTTTGAAAGGGTGGTAGACTTTCAGAAGGCAAACAATGGTTTTGGAAAGAAAAAGAGGTGGAGCCTTTTGGCTGTGGAAAATGAACAAGTTGCCTACTGCCCAGCAGACACTTGTTCCAGCTCCACAAAACCCTCGTAAAAGCTGAGGCCCCCGTCTGGGAGGTGATGAACACAGAAGGCCACCATAAGTTGGGGCGGAGTTGATGAAGATGGAGGGCGCCCCAACCTGCTGTAGCTCACAGGGACATTAGTGAGGGACCATCCAAAAGTCACTACATCGTCAAGAAAATGTTTGATTTGACCCATCACTGTGTGATGGTGTTCAGCAGAGAGTTTACAAAAAGGTGTCATATTAACACGTACCATCCGTTGCTCGGTATAAAAGCCAGCCGAGAGTCAACGGAATCTATGAGCGTATATTTATGGCACTTGAAAGCGGTATAATGCAGAAAATGAGGCAGGAAAGTTAGTTATGTGACTGTGAGGGCACCTGAGAAGCCAACTTCAGATTGTGTCTAAACCTTCACTAAATGCTCGGTGTAGGACAGTGAGGATGTTGTGAAATCTCTGCACTGAGCTCATTGGGAATCCTAACAATTTTCCAGAAGAACAGTTTGAGAAAAGGTCAGCGATCAAAAACAGAGCAAGAAAGAGCTGCAGCATCTATGTTGGAGTCATAAAAGTTCAGAGGAGAGTACAAATGGCAGAGGAAGAGAGACGAGTGGAGAGGGTAGAAGGCAGAAAGAGCCTGGTGATTTAACATCTCCCAGAATGCCTTGCACAGACAAACCCCCGAGAGCACGCCTGCAGCCAATTAGCATAGAAACAAGTCAGACAGGGACGACTTATGTTTTCAGGAGGAAATCTTACTATTGGCTCTAAAATCCCCTCATTACAATACAGGTAACACATCACACAACACCTGGATGGGAGCGTGAATGCCCAATAAAAGTAATATTTGCAGAATAGTAGAACACTGTGCTACTACAACTGACCTTTTATCAGCTATTTCTCGAGTTTAAACACAACATTTCCATCGAATCCGACAGTCGAATAATTCAAAATGTTTGCTGTTTATTTCAGAATGGATGGCAACATTGAAACTACAGCTGTCAATTTATCGACCTCTGTAACCATAACACTATTAATAGTTTTAAACCATCAACAGCGATACTATGCTTTGGATTTAAATATGAGCATTCTTACTAAGGAAATATTAAAAAAAAGTATTATATATGAATTTATGTGAATAAAAAATGTTCTATGACAGTTTACAAAACGGCAAAGAATATTTCACAAAAAAAATATCTCCCATAGTTATTTTTCCAGACTACATGCTGCAAGAGATCAGGGCCTGAATATAGTCAAATTCAATCTGGTGACCTCCTTCATAGGTTGACATCTACAGTAATTCATGCATTGTGCATTTCACTTAACTTGCAATGAGAAGAGATCCATTAACACGATTGTAAAATCATATTTTCGAACTGTTAACTACCCCTCTACGTGGTATCACAGATTTATTGTACTTGCCTCGTTTCCCTCCTTCTCCACTGACCCAGATTTGAATAGAGTTTGGCGGTAGATTTGGGACACTGTGGAGTCTTATGCAAGAACTTTGGGGCTGTTCCTCAGCTCTTTGCATGCAGGGCGGGAACCGGTCCGCTAAAAAAAGAAAAAAAAGGACTGAGTCTCCCCCCACAACTTTTCGCGCGGTAGCCCAGGTGATATTAGCGCCACTGCAGTTGCACCCCTCCCCCGACCCCCCCCCCCCCCCACCCGTCTGCTTCAACCGCAGAGGTAATTACAGGCAGACAATAGCCCCAGTGATTAGGTTAAAACAAGGTATTGACAGAGGGTTTGTGGGTGCCAGTTGACGCTGATCTCGCTGCTGGAGGGGAAGCAGTGGAGATGCGAAATGCTCAGCTGAACGTCAAAGATCGTCTATTAAGTGACGAGTCACTGGTTTCAAAATTTTAATCCGTTTTAAAAGACAAACTCAGACAGTATTAGCAGGACATTATACTGTGTTTCATTTACGCTCATTAACGTTGCGCTGGAAGATTCAGGGTAAAAATGAGAGAAAGGGCAAAATAAGAGATTTCTGATACTGCACAAAAAATAGTTACAGAGTGAGACTTCTTCTTTTAAACCCCCCGGGCTTGGACAGAGCGCGCCGGTTGCCCCGCCAGCTCAACTCGGGGGGCGTGGCCATGCTCCGCGCCCCGAGCACAACCACGCTGACTGGCTGCTGATGAGTGACGCGCCAATTCATCTGTGTGTTGATTGGCCGACGTGAGCCAGATGCCTGAAAGCGCCAGAAAACAAGCTTGAGCGGGGTATGCTGGCGTCTCCCCGGGAATGTGCAGAGTTTCCTCGGATCGGACACAAGTAAAGGACCAGAGGTGCAGTCAGAGGAGGACCGGGACGTTTATTTTAAAGAGGGAAATTAGCTGCTATGTTAATGTAAAGAAAGTTCCCGCTGACACGTCGAAAGAACCGGACACACACCTCCACTGTAATATTTCATTCATCAGCAGGAGAGAAAGGTGAGGAGCCCTGGGGTGCGCTGGGCTGGTCAGCTGAGCTAGGAATGCTAGCAGAGCAGCTCATTAAAGCTCAATTAGCATTTACAACCAACGTTGTAAAAATGTCACGGTAACCTAACGTTTGGTGCTCCATGTAACGGGCTCCGCCGCACCTATTAGTGCGGCCCGATGTGAGGGAATTTACCTTCCGCCAAGCCGGGAAAGTTAAGGCGATCTCCCGTAACGACCGTGAAGTAACCCGTTATGACTAATGTCATGCGATGATCCATTCGGCTCTTGCTCCTTGAAATGCAGTCGGTGTGCGGTCAGCGGGGCGCTCGGCCGTTACTTTGCGGTCGTTAGCTTGCTGCGGGCTAATTAGCTGCTGTTCTTTGCGCCAAATTCCGCTGACCGCTCGCCTTGAGCTTTCGTTCTCGTTACCAGAACTTTACCTACTGCACCGCGACCTCACCACTCATTTTAGATCCCGGTCGGGTATTTGGTTTCTGATATCTTGTATCCATCTCCTTGTTTTCTCCGGGCTGCCGTTTTGCCAGATGGAAGTCAAATGTCTCGCGCTGAAAGACCTCACGAGTCCCAGGAAAGGCTTCACGCAGGAGGATGAGGGCCACGGGGATCAGAAGGTAAGGGGGCCTACTGCCTGATCTTAGGTGTGGTCTGCGCGGTAAAACCGGTCCGGTGGCATCTGAATCAGTAAAGTGATCTTCTGGCTTGTGTGGCTTTTGTTTTTCAAACGGGTTTGTGTGGGATACCGGGGTGGATTCCTTCATTCAGTGCGTTCATTCTAATTGAAGTAAGGCGGCAGTCTCCGGTTTGTCTGTCCTGATGCAAACATCTGACTTGGATGGAGATGTTTGTCTACAGCAGCAGGGGAAGACTCAACACGGTTTATTGTCTCCTCCCCAGGAAAACATCTACGCAGAGAGGAGAAGGTCCACGCCTCTGAAATCTGCAGAGACCTCCGGCCCCGTCTTTGCAATGACCAGAAAGGGGGGCCCCCCCGACATGGTCCACGTCACCCCCATTAAACACACACCCCTGGCCGAGCCCTGGACCCCCACAGCCAATCTGAAGATGCTGATCAGCGCGGCGGGCCCGGACATCCGGGACAGAGAGATGAGGAAGGTGCTGTTTAGACCCATCGAGAACGAGGAGCCAGAAAGTCCGGATGCTCCAGTGGAGGATACGGAGGTGGAAGACTCCTGTCAGGTATGAAAAGAGAGCTCAACTAGATCTAGATCTCATCTGTGTTAAAAGTCCAGCGAGTAACTGGGAAGCCTTCATTTTACTTGCATTCGCAGCCGAACCCCAAAAAGAGCACAAATACAACGCTGTTTGATTTGCCAACTCAAGTTATGGCAAATAGGTAGTAATAATGCTAACAACTGTCAACTGGGACATCATTTGTGATGCGACAGGTTGAAGGTTTCCTGCTTTTAAAAACATGTTTCAGAAGAAGCTCTGGAGTGCGATGTCACGCCAGCGCTGAACGATGACGCGCATAGTGGCGGCCCCGTTAACCCAGTGAGATTTATTTACCAGATTCTATATTTTTGTCCTCATCTGTCCAGTTTGAAGCTGGGGATGAGGAGGATGACGACACTGAGAAAAAGCCGAGCAGAAAGCAGAAGAGTCTGGGTCTGCTGTGCCAGAAGTTCTTGGCCCTGTACCCCGACTACCCGCACTGCCCCATCTGGATCTCTCTGGACGAGGTGTCCACCAATCTTGGTAAGTCGTGGGCGCGGAGTGTGGCGCTGTCCCAGTCACATGGGTCATTGGATTTATGGAAAGGCAGTCATTGAAATCAAATCAAAACACGGGATTCGTCGTCTCTCGCCATGAAACAACCAGGAGTGGAGCGGCGACGGATCTACGACATCGTCAACGTGCTGGAGTCCCTCGTGCTCGTCGGTCGGATCGCCAAGAACAGCTACAGCTGGTACGGTCGCCTGCGGCTGGAGGCCACGTTGGCGGAGCTGCAGCGGAGGGGTCGGCAGCAGGGCTACCACCTCCAGATGGACCCGGCCACCGAGGGCCGGGGGGCCCGGCCGGGGCGCGAGGACGACCGGGCGGAAGGCGACGCCGTCAGCGGTAGGGTGCCCAGAGATTCAACCTCTACTTAAAATGTTTTCCAACTTTAAAAAGTCCAGGGATAAAAAAAAATCCCAACTTTGCCGCCGGCCACCAATGACCTCGTCTTCCTAAACGAGCACCGCTGCGTCTTTGCCGCCGACTTCTCTGATGGCTGTTGTAGTTTCAGGAAAAGAGTTTCAGTTTATGCTGCACGTTTGCCATTTTAAAGGGTAGATTGCATGTTTGATGCAGCTGCCTCCAAATTAACACTAAAGAAAAAACAATCATCACCATTAAACCCGCAGGTATTGTTACACGCCTGTTTTCCATAGCGATCCCCCACATAGTGTACACACACACACACACACACACAGCTCATTAAGGCATCGGCTGCACTTTTAATCAGCTCCTGCTTTACTTGCTGCTATATGGACTTGATTTTTAGATTAATAAAGACTCTTTCAGTAAAGTGGAGACCCGCGAATGCTGTCGTCTGACACACTCGTGTTTCTCTTTGGTGTTCGTAGCTTGTGGCAACAGGAAAGACAAATCTCTGCGCATCATGAGCCAGAAGTTCGTCATGCTCTTCCTGGTGTCCAAGACTCAGACGGTTACTTTGGACGCAGCAGCAAAGATCCTCATCGAGGAGAGCCAGGACTCGTCCAGTCACAGCAAGTACAAAAGTAAGCGGGCACGAAGGAACACGTCCTGTTACACAAATCACCGCTTCCATTCCGGTATCAACACTTCTATCCACTTTTGTGTGTTCAGCTAAGGTGCGGCGGCTGTACGACATCGCAAACGTGCTGACCAGCCTGCGTCTCATAAAGAAGGTCCATGTGCGCGAGGAGAGAGGCAGGAAGCCCGCCTTCAAGTGGCTCGGCCCCGTCGAATTCAAAAGCTCTGCAAGTGCTGGTAAGAGTTTGAGTGGAAATTAAAACAATCCACGCGGCGGAGTGGATGCACTAAACGTCTCTCCACTAACAACTCGAATGGACGCGTTGAAAAGCAAAAACCAACTGCTAGCATCGGTTGACATGCAACAAGCTAATGTCACTAAGTTAAACCTTTTTATTTATTATGGGATTTTATGCAAAGGGGGTTCTGTATATATTTGGGCAAGACCAGCACTAAACCGTGCACGGTTGTGCAGCTGTGACTCTGCCTGAGGCCACGCAGACAAAGGCGGGCGCCGTCCTCGGAGGAGCCAAGATGGCGCGCCACGCCTCCTTCAACGTCACCCCCACTCCTGTGGCCGCACAGCGCCTGGTCAGCTCGGCACCCAGCAGTCCGCGGCGAGACGTTACCGGTAAGAGATGTCTTCCACGCTCAGCCAGCCAATCGTTTAACAGAGCGTTTTGTGTCCCCATCGGATCAATGGTTATCTTCTTCACACCACAGGTCTGCCGTCCCAGCCTGTGGATTATTCCAAAAAGACCCCGGGCAACAGCGTCGTGTGTCGGCTGCAGTTTGGCAGCAGCACTGAGTGAGTTAATGCCACCGACCCGCTCGGCCGCGCTCTCGGTTTAGATTTATCTGCAGTCTACCGATCCAGATTTACTGCCGCTTAAGTTTACTGCGTCCAGTCTGCGTCCGATTTACTGCAGCCCATCCTCCGCATGGGCTGCCTGGGACGAGGACACATGTTGGGAGGTAAAGTCAATGCTACAAACGGCTCATCTCAAAACGGAGTCCCCATTCACTGGAAGGGACTGCGGAATATTTCACACTCGCTGCCGTCGTTTGCATTCGGCTGACGCTCCGGGCTTCATGCAACATGCCAGCGGCAGCTTTGGCTCCGTGTGATGCCGTACCCGGTATTCATAGTGTTTAAGTGGCCAAGTGTTTTTGGAGGTAGAGAAATGGGAGATGTACGACACCAATTAGAGCTTGAATTCTAATCATTCCGTTCTGTCTGGTTTCCTCGGCAGTAACCGCCCCGTCTGCAGCAGTGGCAGCCCGCTGCCTCCGTCCTCCACCCGTGCCGTCCCGCGGGCCCCACACCCGGAGCATGTCTTCGGCGCCGCCGCCTCCTCCTCCTCCTCCTCACATTGCTTGGCCTACCTGTCCCAGCCGTCGGTGGTCATGCTGTACCGGGCCCCAGACACGCCCGAAGGTCCTAAGTCGCTCGGGGCGGAGTCTGATGAGGGCAGGAAGAGGAGGAGGGATGAGGGCGAGGAAGAGGGGATGGAGTTCAAAAAACAGAGGGCGGCGGGGTTCCTGGGATGTGAGGAGGTGAGACGCTTATTGCCTGGAAAATAATTGATCAGTGTTTAATATCTATCATGGTGCTTTGCACATGGTGCTTAGTGCCGTGCTGTGAGGTTTCTTTATTTGTGATGGACAACGGCTGGACTGCACTTTTTCATCAGGAAAATGACTAAATAGAAGATCGTTTCAAATGTGTTTCTGGATCATAAATTGTTACATTTGATCACATAATTGTTTCCCTAAAGCCGGATTGTGGACTTCTTTTGGAACTGTGCCGTGGATCTGTGTCACACGGATACAGCTGATGTAACCTCGCCACTTGCTGTCCTTCTAGGGGAGCGCTGAGCCTCACAGGGAGGCAGCAGAGGCTTCGCCCGCAGGTCACACCAGGACGTCCCCCAGTCGGCCAGTAGGCCTCGGCGGAGAGCAGAGTCATGGGGGCAGCAGCATTGAGCCCCCCCAACCATCGCACTACCTCTACGTACCCAACAACGCAGGTAATACACACAACTAAACACCGATCCCGCAGGGGCTGATCAGCAGGCCAGAGGAGCAGACGAAGCTGCTAAATAGTTCCATATGTGGGGGTTAAATGTGTGTGTCCTTGTTGCAGTATGTTGTAAAGAAAGAAAAGAAAACCAATCAGATTTGTATGCAAGTAGTCACTAAAATGCAAACCAAAATAGTCTCCATAAGAGGGCAGTGAATTAAGACGTTTGGCCTAAAATCCGTCTGCGTGTCTCGGTACAGTCAACCAACGGCCATTAAATGTTTCCTTCTCTTCTCCAGGTCTGAACAACCTCAACTTCCTCTTCTCCGCCGGCCAGTCGCCGGCCGGTTTGGCACGCCCCCCCGCCGGCGTCCCCACCCTGGTGCCCTACGTCCTGATGCCCTCTGCAGCCCTCTCCCATTACCGCCTGCAGCAGCAGGGCTCCGAGGCCTGTAACAAACTGAGCTTCAGCCTGCCTGCTGCCGTCATGTCACCTGCCCACTTTATGGTGGGGGCGGCGCCGTACGGCCTGGCGGCGGCATCGGAAATCAACGGGTCTGCGCCGTCCACCCAGGACAAGAGCAGGCTGTACAGCTCGGTGACAGGAGCTCCGCATTCTCCTTCGGGGCTGCATCAGACGGCCCGCATCCACACACCAGAACCGCTGGTAAGAAGCATTGATGACTCTTAAGAACACGTGAAAATTTTTCTCCTGATAGACGCGTGACTTTCTGGTACCAGGCACAACACAGCTTGACACAAGAGCAAATGCGGCAGCTTTCATTTACTTGTTCAGACACTCTGATTAAGGGTTTTCAGGTTGATCAATCGCAAAGTTGTTGAATGGGGATTCGATGGCAATGAGGCGTAAACCTTCCCGTACCGCTCATGGAAACTAGTCTGGAGCAGGTTATGTCCACACCTTCTCACTTCTCTCTCTCTCTCTCCATTCACAGACGCCACACACACCGAAGGAAACTGCACCATCTGCCTCCAAGGCTTTCTTCCAGACCCCAGGCACACTGGGAAGTGTAGGCAGCTCCGCGCCAGCGGGCCGAAAACGAGGCTCGGCCCAGAGGAGGCTGGACGTCGGCCGCCCGCCGACCGACCAGCTGGATGTGTGAGGAGATGGAGATGGTTGGCTAACGGGCCGTTTTAACTCTCGCTATTGATGTGAATGTGAAAGAATGTAGTTTTAAACCATTGTGCTTTGTAAAATTTAGCGGTTTCCCCCTGAAAGGCCGAACTGTAAGCAAAACACCGTCAGTGGAGAACGGCAATGAACTAAGATACCAAACAATTTGGTATCTGATATTTTGTAATTGACGTTTCTTTTTAAGTCTTAAAACTTTGCTGTTATTGGTCTTTGTGTCAACAGTCGGCGCGTGCCTCCTGGCTCAGTTACACGACCAGATTTCAGCGAATGAGAGAAGTATCGCTAATGTCACAGTGCCCTCCTGTGGTCGGAGTTGGTTACTGCTGTTTATATTATAGCCACAATCCCCCTCCCCAGATGTGATCAAGCTACCCAATTCCCTGCATCCAATTGCTATTTATATTTTAGTTAATATATGTTAATTATACGGACTGTAATGGAACATGGACTGTGTTCTTTCAGCACCAAGTAGAATGTCCAGCTCATTTTAATGGGATTGTTGCCCGTTGACCCCTTAGCTTGCGTTTCATCATCACGGTAGAATAGAAATTCTATTAGCTGCAGATCACCAGCAGACAATCCCCTCTTGGCTCATCTCAGACTTCACTGTAAGGAGAGCAATCACTAAAGCCTTAAATGTTTTTAGCCAGCGAGCATCCCCCCTGTCCTTGGCCTACTTGAACCCATCAGGAAGACAAATTTCACTAGTGCTGTGCATGTTTTATCGGTGGTATCCGCAACCGCTGTGCTGGGAGGTTTAACACCAAACCCTGACGACTGAGGAGGTCATGTGACCCTGCGCTCAGGTACTTGAATACTTGTGACTTCAGAGTACTGTAAAGATGTATTTTTAATCTGAAATGTATCCAGGTATCGATACATTTGGGAACTCCCTGTAGGGCTGCGTCCTGCTGTTGGCTGCTGATGTTGGGAGAGTTAAGTGCCTTACCTGAGGCACCTTGGAGGAGATAAGAGAACTGTTCAGGGGATTTCTATCATCAGCCCTCTACTCATAAACTCACTAACTTGCCTCCAGAGAAAAATACTCGAACTTTGTACAGGAATCCTTCTGGGGCGTTTAACGGTGTCACACCAAAGGGTGCACAAATAATCCACTGACCAGTGGCTGCTTCTTTGTGAATGTGCTGTCTGATGTCTTTTTGTATATTATATTCAGATTGCCATTTATACCTCCACGTAGAGAATGTCAGCTCTTTACTGTATGTAAGAGCCAAACTGGTGCTGTATGACTTCCACAAACTTTCATTAAAGATGTATGACTTTTGTTTGTCATTCCTGTGATCTCTTTTCTCAAATATTATACTATTCAGTTTTATTCTACAATGGAGGGGGGGAAACCCTAAAATGTCAAGCCAAATGATAGTGGAATTACAGATGGTTTCAGTTTATCAATTTACAGATGTTTGCAATAACTTATTAGGATACAGAGTGGCCCAGCAGATGCAATGCTACGGTGGTCAGATAACATCTGTAACCCACTTCCGGTTGTGTTGCATGCAGTCAACACTAAAATGGCAGTGTTGATGGCACTCAAAAGTGCAGTAAATTTGTTTCCACGCTGAGGTTAAATTATTCATAATAAATTAAATCCCATTGGGGATAAACACATGAATTGTGATGTGGTCAGATTGGGCTCATTGAGTCAAATGTGTGAGGACATGATCATTTGATGTAAACTTTTATATCAGCACTTAAACACTAGATGTGTTTGGCCCCTGCCAGGCATTTATGACACTCAACATCAGCAGCTGGGACAATTCACTTCATACAGATGGATAGTTCAGCAAAGTATCTGCTGTGGCCGGCAACACTACAGGGAGGGCACGCTGTCCCTGTTCACTTTCACATATGCACCCAGCGATGGGCAAAAATACATCCAAATACCTCTCAAATAAATGTATTAAAATAAAATGAAAAAAAACTGGATTTAAAAAATAGGAAATAGAGCAAAGCTCTGGTATCTTATTAATGGGACCTTACAGCCTTTTGAAAATGAAAATATTAATGATATGTGAATAGCATCTTATCTTAAGCCTATGCATACTATAAAAGTAAAATATAGAGCAACACTACAGGTTCAGGCTGGCTGGCTGTAATCAAGACTGGCCGTGTTCAATTAGCTGCTTGTAATTAATAATCTAATTAGGTTGATTGGCCGACGAAGAAACACGTTTCCATACTCCTGATGTGTTCCAGCTATTGTTTATAGCCCCAACAATTGACCTTGTCACCATCCATTTTACATAGAATAATGCTGAAATGAGCAGTTGAACATTCCTCTATCAAGCGCTCTATTGTTACGGCACTATCCCGACTAACCGCATCATGGCATAATGATGAGGCTGAGGTTTGTTGATCGAGGCGCAGGGTATCTCTCCGTCATTGTAGGGTCGAGTAACGGTGTCAGTGTCCAGCTTTGCAATGTAAAACATGGCTTCTTCACCAGTAATAAACATTTACTTTGATCATCAGGAATCTGGGTGAAATTTGGCATAAAAATGAGGAGGAAGTTGCAAAAACTGCAAAAGCCCATGGGATGGTGTTGTGCATTTACTTACTTTGCATTATCATATTTGAGAACTGCAAAGAGAGACAATTGTTATTAAAAGGATCAGTGCGACATTGGTCAGAGTTGTGCCTACGCAACAGAATATCATGTTTGATATACAGCAACTATGTCAAACCTAACCAAACCTTTCTCTGTGGCACACACACACTCCATCATTTGCACCGTGTCCAGCAGGGAGCAGGGTAACTGCAGCCTTCGTCAGTCTTCATCACCACACATGCTCTTACTTCTTCAAGCCCCGACCCAGTGTGGACGGTAGTGCTGCTCATACAGATCTTTGGGATGTGACTCGTCTGTGTTTACTGATCTCACTTTATCACCGCGTTATGCCTGCCACTGCACACGTGTGTTTATATGGCGACATGGAGCCATCTGAAATCTTAGATAGAAACATGTTGTTGGGGGCATATTGTAATAAAACTTTTCCTCTGATGTCCGCTCTCTGTCTCCCTTCACGTAAACTCTCCATGACCCTATTACATACGCATCATTCCTTGACCAAGCGTGTGTGGGTGCCGCGATGTTTCAAGGTCCTCCGCTCACCGCGACTCATAACCTCTGACCGGCACCCGAAGCAGCAGTGGCGAGGCCACGCCCCCCGAAGCCCCTCCCACTCCCGGCAAGCACGCGGAGTATGTGGCGTTGAGTCTGCAGCCTACTGAGGACTCGGCGGGACCCACACAAGGTAACTCTGTTCTGCTCTTTTTTTCGTGAGTAAATTCTGTGGCTTTACTGACAAAATTAAGCTGTTTTGCAATGTTAGTGTTCATATGGAATCGTTGGTTGAAGTTAGTGGTTCGTATAGCACACTGCGCAGTTCCAAAGTGAATCTTTATAACCAGGCATTGATGTGGTCGATCCGTTTGAAATCCACTGTGGATTAACAGTTGCTTTTTCCTTTTGTTCATAGAGGACAGAAATGAAGAATAGAGAAAGGAAATGAAAAGAAATAACACCGAACCACCAGGATAACGAGCCAAACAAAACGTTTATTAAATGTAAAGCATAGGGAACTGTATAGGAGAGCTTAAAAACCCGCGAGCCTAAATAAAGATGTAATTAAACGTTGGTGTTTTAATACAATAGAATGTTGATAATAACATGCCAACGCTGCTGTTATTCTCTTGTTAACGTCGAAGCGAAATGTAGTTAATTCGCTTTAGTCAAAAACATTAACAAACAGCCGGTTTGTCAGTGAACAAACACGATGTTTGTCCAACGCAACAGGTCGCTAAAGTAAAGTCCTGAGCTGCTACACCGGGAAGAAAAACAATGCAATTTGTGTTTCTTTCAAAATCTGAAGCCACTTCACGTGACGAGTTCCCAAAGCGTTCAACAATATTATAATAAGTACAAACACTCGTACTGAATAGAATGTGGCATGTTTAAAATCACTGGATATCCCCACAAATATCTGTGTTTGCAGACTTAAGCCACAAATAATATTCATGAAGTTGTAGACTAGTTGTTGCCATTGAACTCCGTGACTCTTTAAACTCAGCCGACTTATTGGTGTCGTGCCTTGTCATCACAGCCAACCTCCCCCCACGTAATGATAGTGTTCGTTTCATCTCCACGTCAGTGTCAGGCTTTTTCCACAGTCCGGACCGACCAGATTAATACTCTGTTTTCGAATGAATACAGAATAATAACAGTTTCCATCAGGGGAGTCAGAGACGGACAGATTTCCAAACTCTCGGTCCGAACAAACCAGTTCCACTTTCTCCTTTCACGCTCCCCGGTAGGATATCGCAGCAGTGCAGTCGGCTTTGCAGCGATGAAATGAAATGTTGGATGTGTCTCGCCCCCCCTTGGCGAATTTTTCAAGGGGACGGAGTCTGTAATTACAGACAGATGTGCATGTGAGTCAAGGAGTGAATGGGGGTGTTGTAGTGTGTGAGGTAACAGCAGTGGTTACTCTAGTCTCACACTTCCTTACTGCACTACATTCACTCCCACCAGACAACAAAAGCCTGAAGGCGCCCTGAGACATTCCTCTGGGAATTAGTCGGCCCCGTCGTTGAGCCCGACCACTTTTGCATTGTTGCTTTTTCTATTTTTTCACCTGATTTTCATCAGGGTAAAGCGGTGGATTCACTTCGACCATTTGCGACATTGGAATCCAGCAATGGAGCTTCTCAAAGGGCAGATGTAGTTATTACAGCGTGGATCGAGCAGCTGTTTGCTTCCAATACAAAGAGAGAAAAGGGGATTCAAACAGCGACACGCTCTCTTTCCATCCAAAACTACAGATGAAGTGCTTTCGAGCGAGGCATTACCCCTCTGAGCCCCCTGGGCGCTATGGTTACCTGCCGCAGCCTTAAAAATCACCTTTCCTTTGTGGAAGAGGCCGAGTCGAGACGGACAAAGTAACGCTGCCCCGGATGTTCCAGCAGCTCATGTCCTCTCCGTCTCTCTTCTCAGAAACAAAGACAATGCCGAACTGGGGAGGAGGAAACAAGTGTGGCGCGTGCCGTGGGGCGGTTTACCACGCCGAGGAGGTGCAGTGTGACGGGAAGAGTTTCCACAAATGCTGTTTCCTCTGCAGTAAGTACGGCTGCAAGTCCTCAAACTCTGGAGGGCAAAGCAGGGTCCGTGTGCGCTTTAACAGTGCTAACCATCTTAGTAGTGAAGCACAAGTGAAAGACTGTTTTGCAATCTTTGATGAGATAACAGCTGAAAAGCATCTCATTCAAAAGCCAGCACTAAAAGCTGTCAGACGATAAGAGAAAACCTGTTGCCTTGTGAAAAGAGTCACGTGAGCTTCTTGGATTGAAAAGGTCACTGAAAGTTGACACAAATGCACAAGAACCCTTACGTCAACAATGCCCCCCCCCCCATTAGCACACAGACAAACACATTTGTTAAAGATTGTCACACAGTGCCGACATTTTTTTCCAGCTGTTGCCTATTGATCGTGCCAACGGTCTTACAAATGTTAATGTCAAATGTGCTAAGAGCAGATATACCATCGACCTGCACTAACTAGACAAGATTCCGAGTTACAGACGGCCGTGGAGGATCAGGATAAAGACCGGAAAAGTCCGTTCCACCTCTGCACAGCTGCTCAGTGGAAGCTCATGCTGACACCGTTTGTTTGATTTCAACTGTGTTTGTATCAGTTTGTTGGACTGGTGGGCCTCTTCTTCTGCTCCGGAACCACACTTAAAACGCCAGTGAAGCCATTCCAGCAAAGAGACTAGAATAATTCAAACCTTCATTGAGCTGCTATCATGAGAAGACCAAAGTAATAAGAGCCACAAAAAGATGGACTTCAGCGCCTCCTCTACAATGGCAGCTTTGTCGGACATTCCTGCTGAGGACATTATGGGCATGGGGACTTAGTGTCCTTGGCTCTCCTTTGCCCTTTTCTCCAGTTTCTAAGTAGGACATTCACCACTTTTCCTTTCTGTGTATGAAAACCATCTATACACGGAAAGGACTGTCACCCAGAGCCTCATAGGTCTCTTTGTGCTCTTACTGGGGCTTTGTGCTCAATTGTATTTGCTCATACCTTTTGCCAGCAGTCCCACATGAGGTTTGATGATTTAACTGTAATGAAGGGGAACTTTTAATACTCACAGAACCCCTAATAGTAGAAGATTTAGCTGTGATTTGATCGGGAATACAGAAATCTATCTTCACAATAGCCCACAAAGCCTCCTTTCGAAAAGCTTTCAAGACCCGAGGCCTCT